GAAGAGACCTCCTAGAAGTCTATCAGAAATGGTATATGATTAACTCAGAGCCTTTCAGAGTCCTCCATGATCAAAGTGGAAAGCCCACTGAATCCAACAGTAAATCACAAGATAATTCTCTGGCTCTAGAAAAGCCCTGGTATTTTGAGAAATGTCAGTACTGTTGTTACACTGGGAGAAACTTGTGGTGGGGTTCACCAAAGGAATGGAAAGATATCCAGAAAAATTCTAGTTAAAATCTCAATACCCATGACTCACTGACGTCAACAAAAGAGCCCTTCTAGAAGTGAGTATAGGGTGGGGATGCACAGGGTAGGAGTTCTTGTAGAAGATGACAGTTTTGGATCACTGTGCCAAGCTACGTCCTGTTAAATCAATATAGTAATATGCATAAGCACAATTATTAATGTGCAGTAAGCATAGTAACTGGCTTCCAATGTCTGAGACTCTCAGATCTATAAGGCAAAAATGTCATTCTTCTCTACATGTCATCATGCAGCACACCATAAATAATTCTGGGAGCAAATCAATTACTTTCCTTCTCTGTCACTAAAATGAACAAAATATCAAAGCATTAGTGTGGAGAGATGGATTTACAAGATGCAAGGTTGTTCCTTTTCTAGATTATCTGTCCTCAAAGGACCGCAACCTAGAGCGAGGACAAAGGAGTGGGGGAAAGACATCCTACTAACAGCTCACTGCCTCTGGGCCCTTTGCTGTATTACAAGCTCAAGAGAAAAAAATGCTGTGTCCAGTGAGAACCGAAAAAGAAATAAGCTCAACTATGCGCACAATTCTCTGGTTCCACCAGATTATAGAGAGGAGGGAGTAGTTGTTGGAGCTCAGACTTGTTCAACACTGTTCATTTTTACCCATGGAATGCTGAAGTGATGATGTTAGCTGAATTTGTCAGATTACCTCTTTTCCAATACTAAATGCATCAAAAGCCTTTATTAAGTAAAAATCATAATAAAAGAAAAAATATCTGATTCTTTCTCCCTCCACATCCCGTTTTTCTGCATTGCCACCAGCCACATGCAGCTGCTTAAATTCCACTTAATTCCAATTAAACAAAATTAAGGGGCTGGGGTTGTGGCTCAGTGGCAGATCATTTTCCTAGCATGTGTGAGGCACAGGGTTTGATTCTCAGCACTGCATACAAATAAATAAAAAATAAAGGTCCATCAACAACTAAAAAATTATAAATAAATAAATAAATAAAATTAAATACATTTCCTCCATCACACTGGTCACATTTCAAGTGCTCAACAGCCACGTATGGCTAGTGTCTGCTGGACTAGGAATGCATAAAATATGGAGAAACATGGGTAGCATGCAGATGCCATGACAAAGTGCTACAGAAAAGAAGAGCCACCAAGAAGATTCAATTAAGAATATCACCAAACTTGCATTTCAGAAAAGTCCCTCGGGTTGCAAAGAAATGTGGGGACAGGGAACATGGGACCCATGAGAAAGAAAGAACTGCACCACTGGGCTGATTTGCTTTGTATGTTTGCTTCACTAGCTAGAGCAAGCTGCAATATTTTAATGGTTTGATACTAAAAGAAGTGAAAAATGTCTCTGGTTGAACATAGTAAGTTTAAGTGGGATCACCACAGGGATTTCAGCTCTGTGACAGAGATGTTCTTCATATGCATCAGGCCATGGCACACCACTACCACCTGGAAGTGGCACTGAGCTAGCTCCTTAAGAGGAAATTAATTAAAAGCCGCTGTAGCATATGAGAAACTGCAAAAAGCAAATGTGTGTTCAGGGATGTATTAGAGAAACAGAGACAGGGAATGTGGATATGAGAGGAAGACAGTGTGCTGGAGGGGGTAGGAGAAAATCTGTGAGTGTTTGTGTAGGGGAAGTTCTATCGGTCATTTGTCAGACCTAAGTCTGGATGCTCCCATGTCACCACCAATTCACTCAATTCTTTGCAACCAGAGGGACTTTTCTGAAATGCCATCTGCTGATGTTATTATTCTGATTAAAACTTTCCAGTGGCTCTTCTTTTCTGTAGAACTTTGAAACAGCATCTCCATGCTACCCATGTTTCCATATTTTGTGCTAAAACCAGTACAGTTGCCACTGGCCCCATGTGGCCACTGAACACTTGTCTTCCACAGCATCTCTAGCTCCACAGAGCCTGGCTATCTTCCTGCCCAAATCTTCCTCCTGTGCATGACCAAAGGTACCTCAACCCAAGCCAGGAAGGAACCCAGAACATTATCTCTCCCTCTTCCTCAGCCCCCTGGGCCAGAATCTCCACAGCCTGCCTTCACTCCCACCACCCCACAGCCGCTGCAGTGAACATGGCAACACCATGGAGTGATTTCTCCCAGATCTGTTTCTTCCACCCTGCTCTACTGGAGTCCCTACGGATGTGACCTGCTCTCGCTCAGGACCCCAAAACTCTACTCAGTGCAATGAGGAGGAAACTCTCTGTTTCTATGCTTCTATCAATTTCAGTTTTTCAAACTTGGATTTTTAAGAATGGGCTTGGAAATATTCAAGTGTTCTGTTTGTACTAATTGGAGTTTGAATTGGTGGAAAGTTTACCTTAAATGCTTGAGTGGAGGTGAACTCTAATCCAAACCCCAAAACAGCTGAAAACTGGCAGTCTGCCCAAGCCCAGACAGGCCTTGGGAATCTGCCAACACTGAGGACCCTGCCATTCCATAGATGATGTGTTAATTTTCAACTACTCCACTTTTCTGTCTTATAAAACCAAAACCAAACAACAACAACAAAAAAGAGAAACAACAATTCCTATATTGACTTGAAGAGATTCTCAAAAATTCAAACAAGCCATTTTTTCCTGTAACCCTCATTAATTCCTGCTTTTCAACCAAATTCTATTTCTCCCACTTCACAGGTAAGAAGATCAGTGGCTGAGTTCACGGATGGTTAGTTTTTGACTAAAACAGTCTCATTTGCCTCATTTCTCAGTTTCTCTAATATCTCTGCTCCTCTCTATCTAAAAAGCCAGCAGATGGCAGTTTTTATCATTCTACTTATTTTTTAGATAAACTGATAACACTACCACAACTCCCAGTCAGAAGGCCATTAATACCATCATAGTATAATCGTCTCTTTGCTCGGTCACGTACACAGTTCAGGAACTGCATTCACACTGTGGCATCTTCTTGCCTTTAAAAATGGCTTTTTCATGAGAAGTACATATTGAAGAAAAAAAGTTCAAATAATAACATCTGCCCTAACCTAAAATTTCTAGCAACTGGTGACTCCCCAGAATTGATGTTCTGATATTTACCTGTTACCCTTCCAGGATAATATATGTCAAAACAAAACATCTCCACACGCTGAACAAACAGAATGGAAAGCATTTTTTAACCCTTGACAGAAATAAAAATGAGGTGGTGGGCATGTAGTGGAAGCGGTCTGACTGCTCTGTATTCTTCCACACGTTTCCTGTTCCTCCTTGGGGGGGGGGGCATCATCCATATGACATTCTCATCTTCTACTTGCTGGTTCTTTCCTTTCAGTTTATTTCCAATAAAGACAATATATTAAATCTTTACAAGAATCCACAAGTAGAAATAAATATTTCAGGGAAAGCCAAGGAATACAGAGGATAAACTCTTATAGATAAAGAGAACCCCCATGTCACAGATTTAGAAAAATTGAAGCTAAAAAACATGTTCACGTCAGGAGAGAACTAGGATCCAAACCCAGGCAGTCTGGCTCCAAAGTCTGGGACCCAGTGCACAGCACCACATGGCTTTGCGGAAGGGGAGACTGGCTGCTGCCCTGCTAGGAATGTCCCAGTGGGGCTGTAGGCAAAGACTCTTACCTGGTCAGGGTCCTGAGTCTCTACAAAGATATAGCTATATCAAAGTTCCTCTGATTTATTCAGTCCCTAAATCCTCTCTTCCAGGGTAGCCTACACATTGGTCTCTTGCTCCCTTCTAAGGTCATTTTTCTAACCTGCTTGATGGAGAGAAACACCTGGAATGTTTGTTAAAAATGAAACTGCTCAGGATGCTGTCCTTTGAGGTTCTGATCTATGGGGTCTGATGTAGTCCCAGAAATACATATTTTAAACAAGTGCCCTGGGGAGAGTCTTCTTATCAGTTGGGTTTGAGAAATGTTGCTCCAGAAGTTTTAGCCAATAGGAACAAACACCACTGGCTTTAAGTATTATAAATTAAGTCAAAATATTATTAATTAGTGACATTTCTGCAGCTGAATTAATCCAAAGCAAATGGCGCATATGACACAAATTGTTTTCTTCCAGGAAAGACATGCTAGGTGGGCTGGGATGTCTTTGTGGCTTTTTCTTATTGAGTGATAACAATTAGAGAGAATTCTTTAATGGTGTGCCCTTGAGGGAGTTTCTGCATTGCTCTGGTCATGGAAAAGCTTAATTTAAGTAGAAAGCATGCTGTTTTATACAGTTCTTTTAGGTTCTATGAGAATTTCAGAGAAGAGGAAATTTTAAAAGGGAGAAAAGAGTACAGAGTTCTTGTTCCTTGAAGGACTCTAAAGTGAATTCTTTAGAGAATTGTATAACTGAGAGAGAAGGATTTAGGCTTTTCAACTTAAATGTTTATGAATCATATACAGAATGACTTATGAAAACATTTTATAAGGTTGTAGTTCAATTTACATAGTCTATCAGAAGCAGGGATGATCTTTGACACTTATATCAAATGCAAAATTTTGAAACTTGTGATTATTAAAATACTATTTAGTGTTAATAAAAGATCTCAAATGTGCCTGATTTGCTCTGACACAGTGTTTGCTGCTTGTCACAATGAGGTTTCCACCTGAGGCACTACTTCAACTGCTATATGTATGAGTCACTACGGGAAAAAAGAGGAAGATGAAAGCAGAAATAATACTAAAAGACACTCAAAGGGGGAGACAGAAAGCTGTCCTCTCTGCTCTGTGGAATGCCTTGTTTCCAAGGGGGCCGTTGCAAATCAGTGGCAGGGGACTGTTCCCAACTCTTAGGCACAAGACACACATACCTCTTGGTGGGGGTGGGCACTCCAGAGGACATGTGGCTAACCATGGTGTCATTCATATTGGTCAGAGGGCGAGGAGGGCTGAAAGAAAACACATTTAGGTTTATGTTAATAGTTACCAACACAACTAGAGAAACAAGAATGACAAGGGCAAAGGAACCAATTATCCCTGCTGACAGGCACAGTGGCACCATGGAAAGAGAGACCTCCAGCCTACATAAATCCATCAAGAAGGGGTTCTCTCTTGCAAGGCCATAGGGTTGCAGGGCTACAAAGTACCAGGGGAACAACAAATTATACCATCACCACAACCAGTGGAACCTCAGTGGTTTTTGCTTGTGGTTTTAGTGCACAAGGATGTGAAGTCTGCTACTTAATTTTGATTAATTTCTCTACATGTTCTTGACATCGAGGCATGCACTTTTCTTGAGATTTGTTTACAGCTCACTGTTCTCCCTCACACTTAGTTTGCAAACTCTATTACGTAAACAATTAAGTGGTTAAACACAAAATTTAAAAATAAGACTCAGAAGCAAAGTTTTATTAATCCTGTACTAGAATCTTAATAATCCAAATTTTATACCTATACTTCAATTAGAATGCTGTCTTTTGTAACCTACTCAAATTTAAATGTAAAAGCAAGCATTTTTATAATTTGTCTTCCGGGGTTGGATTTCTATACTCAAATCCCATTCCTTCCTCTTGTGAAAGTGCAGAGTGAATGAATCCAGGCTTATCAAAAAGAGTCTGTCATCGAAAACTTCAGGCCACTCCAATGCTTCTCCCTCTCTAGGGGCACAGCTACAAAAGGTTTCTGTCTTGCATCTGGAACATGACAACTACTCTCTTCTTGGGAAATCTGTCAGTTTCACTCCTAAACTGAAAGAAGTAATTCTCAGAAAGACTAGTCCCTCAAAAGCAGGAAAGTGAAGCCAAAAAGTCCTCTTATGTAGGTGCTGATTTCTCCTTACTTTTGAGAGACGTGCTGATTAGTATACTGCTCTTGGAGGCTATACTTATCAATGGCTAGTGAGTTTTAAAGGATGTCACCTGGGGCTGGGGTGGTGGCTCAGTGGTAGTGCGCTCACCTACCATGCATGGGGCACTGGGTTCAATCCTCAGCACCACATAAAAGCAAACTAATGTATCCACCTTAAACTAAAGATACATAGTAAATAAATATTTTAAATAAAATAAAATAAAGGACATCACCTATTGTTTTGCATGTTTTCTACTACATTCAAATAAAGACTCAGGGAAATTCTTCAGGGAGAGCCAAGGAACCCAGGGTATAAAGAGGAGTTTCTCTTTCTCCATCTACCATGCACTCCTATTTTCTAAAAAAAATTTCATTTCTGGATAGGGAGACTTTTAAAAAAAACGACATCCCATTTAACAGAGAGGATCCCAAATGGAAAGCAATTTGCAGAGAACAGACTGAGGTCTCTTGATTTTTTTTTTTTTTTTTTAGAGAGAGAGAGAGAGAGAGAGAATTTTTTTTAATATTTATTTTTTAGTTTTCAGCGGACACAAAATCTTTGTTTGTATGTGGTGCTGAGGATTGAACCTGGGCCGCACGCATGCCAGACGAGCGCGCTACCGCTTGAGCCACATCCCCAGCCCCAGGTCTCTTGATTTTTAAGCCACAGTACCATGCTCATTGTTCTACACTGCTTCCCTTGGGTGACAAGTCCCTAAGTAAGACATTCAGAACAGAAATATGCCTTCCTGGCTAGAGTTCAATTCCCAACTATTTGACTACCTGTCATTCAGACAGATACCCAAACCTTCAAGCCTATTTATGTTGTGAGTTATAATCAACACATCAATTGTCTTAGGTTGACTAATGATGGAAGAGAAAACAAGATTAGCTTACTTTTAGTTCTAAATTTCTAATTTTGCCTCTGATTCTTTTAAATCAATTGTCCAACTGAATCAAGGAGAAAATTCCTATGAAGTAACAAATTCAGCAGAACAGCTTTTCACGCTTAAGGGCACTAGAAATTTTCTGGTCTTGAAATAGAATGGCTTTGCTTCTTTAGTACATTATTATTAGCAATCCATTTCCAAAATAAGATAAGAACACTCTCATGTTGCTTTCAGAACTAACACAGTTACCCAGATCATTTCAATATTATGGACACTACTGTATTCAATTTCCTTTCTGATATCCTCAGAGAAATATGACAATAGAATTTTTTTAAATTCCTTTAACATGGATCCACATGATAAAATTTTATGATTTGTAGCATTCTGTTTCATCTGATGTTACAAGTCTTTATAATCACCTCCATCTCAGCAAATATAATGTTCAACTATCATTTTAACACACAGAGAAGCCTCTTCTCTAATATTCAATACTAGGCAGTAATGATTACATTGTATTCTGTAAACTCAGCAGAACTTCCTCCAAGCGGCATAACCTTTCTTGACTTCTAATATGTTTTGCTAGAGATAAGTTTGTGTTTGCAAACCAAAATGGAAGTGGCCTTTGCAAACATCAAGGTCTTTAGTATAGTATCTTCTCCAGAGCCACAGTTTACAGGGAAAACCAACAGCTCCAATGCATTCTTAGAAGATACAATACACTGAAAAGGATTTCAGGCTTAAAAGAAAAAAATCTTCATGAAGACATATTTGAAAACATGTTCATATCCAATGAGCTGGGCACATGCATGCCTGTAATCCCAAGCAGCTCAGGAGGCTAAGACAGAAGGATTGTGAATTCAAAGCCAGCCTCAGTAACTTAGCCAGGCAACTCGGAAAGACCCTGTCTCTAAATAAAATGTAAAATAGGGCTGGGGATGTGGCTCAGTGGTTAAGTGCCCTGGGTTCAATCCCTGATACCAAAAAAAAAAAAAAAAAAAAAAAAAAGAATATATAATGAAATAGCCATTAATAATATAAGTTATGGAAACTTATAAGACAGTAGAATTAGCAAAATCAGATGGATTTTTTTTGATCTTTAATTCTAAAACCCAGCTGAATACTCCGAACACATCACTAGCTGGTCCATGTCCTCCTTTAGAGAAGATCTAACAGGATACTTTTAGACAGTAACAAGTTCCATCTATGAATTCCACGCTACAAAAAGGCTACCATAGTTTGGGAGGCTCCTTCTTTGTTAAAAAGATATGTTTTGTTTTTAAAAAATGAGGCATAAAAGCAGATGGGTGAATAGGTAGAAGGTGGTAAGTAACTCATTAGTCACAAGAGGTGGCTTTTAAAAGGCTTGGAGAGGGGCTGGGGATATAGCTCAGTTGGTAAAGTGCTTGCTTCTTAATCAAAGGATAAGAAACACACTTCCTGAAACCCTGTGCAAGATAAGAAAGACCTTTATCTCAGTGACTTAACTATACAGATATGGAGACAGATCTGCAAACAAATAATCACAATGCCCAAGAGTGAGGGCAGCAGAGCAAGCACAGGCAGAATCCTGAAGAGCCACAATTTACAGGGAAAGCCAGTAGCTCCAATGCATTCTTAGAAGACGTAATACACCAAAAACGATTTCAGGCTTAAAAGAAAGAAATCTTCATGAAGACATAGTTGAAACGTTTTCATGTCCAATGAGCTGGGCACATGCTGCCTAGAGAAATGAGGGGGAGTCAGGGAAGGTCCCCAGAGGTGAAGTTATGGGGAGTTTTCCAGATGCAGAAAAAAACCAAGTGACCGGAGATGGAAATGGTATGTAAAAAGGCACAGAAATGCAAAAGTGCACACTGGGTCTCACTCACTTGATAAGACTCAAAGGACCTGAAGGGGGTAAGTGAAAATGCACCTGGAAAGGTGGTGATAGCCAGGCTTGTTCTCTCATAAGCTAAGACAGCTAGACTTTATATTAGAGGGAAAGGGGGAAGAATTGAATGTTTTTAATCTAAAGAATGATATGATTATAGTTGAGTTTTTTAAAAAGATAATTATAGGAGTTGTGGAATACTGGTTTTTATCAGGGTTATGCACAAAAATCATCTGGGAAGCGTTTTATAAAGCAAGATGCCCAAACTCTACCCTCAATTTAGCAGGTCTAAAGCTTTAGAGGCAAGGGCAGTCTTTCTAAAGCACTTCCAACTAAAAATCATTAATGTAGGGTGGATTTGGAAGGAGGAGGGAATGCAAGCTATGAGACCAGATAAGGTTTTATGGCAATTGTCCAGACTAGGGCTTATGAGGGTGGACAGTGGTAGTGAAATGGGGTAGAGACAAAAGGAAAGATATTGCTGGAGTCAGACAGACATAAGACATGGTGACTGGGTTAGGGAGTGAAGAATAATGGAATTTTTACCTGGCTGCGGGGGAGGTAGAGGTATCAATATCTGAACTAGGTAGTAGACACAGAATAAGCAGGAAGGTAAGGGTGAACAGGATTTTAGCTGTGAAACTGTAGACTCTCTAGTGCCACTGACAAACACAGGTAACTGGATGTCTAGAAGGCAGATGGAAATAGGAGAATGAAAACTAGGTGAAATGTCAATTTGAAAATATTAGAGTATCTTAAATGGTACCAATTCTTTGAGTATTATGAATACTAGAGAGGCACATCTTTATTTATTGTTTCTAGGTGGGACAGGATAGGTTTGGGAAGGTGACTTAGATAACAGATACAAAGCTTCCGGTTATTGGGAAGACACCTCTCTCCTATAAAGTGAGAATTTAGTTTACTGGCACAAACCATTTTCATGTAGTTCTCTGCTACGTTTAAGTTTCCTCTAAAATTCATGTTACGATTTAACTGCCATCAAGGTATTTGAAGAGGAGGTCCCCTCAAGCAGTGATTAATGCCATCACGGCAGGAGTGGGTCAGCATGGTGGGAGTGGCTGACAAGAGGGCGGGCCCCATCTTGCACTGGTGCTTGCACCTTCCACCAGGGGATGACACTCAGGGCCTTTGCCAGAGGCTGGCACTGTGCTCTGACTTCCCAGCCTCCAGAACCTAAAACAAACACACTTTTATTTCTGATGCATTACACAGTCTCAGATATTCTGTTATATAACAACATCAAAGAGACAAAGGCACTCTCTTAGGACCACACTATTCAAATTCATTCTGGTGGATGTTCTGGAATATACAATAATTTTAA